GTAGAGACAGGGTTTCACCACATTGGCCAGGCTGGTCTTGAACTCCTGACCTCAGGCGATCTGCCTGCTTTGGCCTCCCCAAGTGCTGAAATTACAGGCATGACTCACCACACCCAGCCTAGTCTATGCATTTCTTTAATAAATGAACATTCCTACCATGTAATTGGGGAAGTATCAGCACAGGAGATGCATAAATAATACAAAGGCCCAATAAAAATGAACAAACATAGACAACTGAGTAAACTGAGAGGACATAATGCCAACGGCACAGTCACACACCTGTTTGCACATCGACATGCTTTCTGCCTTCCACGGGCTCAGGTGTTTGTGGTCTGAGCTGCTCTTGGGCTCGTTTTCTGGCAAGAGCCCTCTTCTTAGCCTCCCGTTGTCTCTGAAGCTCTAGAGCATCAGGCTGTCCAGGCTAACAGAGATAGAAAAGACTTCTAGAATTTAGAAATACTTCTTAAAGCATACAGGAACTGCCATTCCAAAAGCAATTCCTGGGTAGTATAAAAGCATTTGTCATAATGTTTCCTGATTATCAGTGACTTGATTAAAATTGTATTGGAAATAGACACAATTTATCAATTTTAAATTGATTAAAATTGTATTGTCAGATAATTACAAAGATGTTTGACAAAGCATAAAAGTAACTTCAAAGTAGGGCTGTTAACTGGAATAGATGGGTGTACGATCCTATCTATACATTTACAAAATTAATGCAAATATTTCCTTTTTAATTTATTCATTGACTTGCTGATTATTCAGGAGTATGTTAATTTCTACATATTTTTGTAGCTTCCAACGTTCCTCTTATTATTGATTTCTAGTTTTACTTCATTGTGGCCAGCAAAGAAACTTGATATGATTTCTACTTTTTAAAATTTGTTCAGACTTGTTTTGTGGCCTAAGATATGGTCTATTCTGAAGAATCTTCCATGTGCTGAAGAAAAAAAAATGTGCATTCTGCAGGAGATGGATAAAATGTTCTATAAATGCCAGTTAGTCCTAATAGGTCTAATATGAAGTTTAACACTGATTTTCTTTTCTTTTCTTTCTTTTTTTTTTTTCTGATTTTCTATTTGGATGATCTATTTATTACTGAGAATGGGGTGTTAAAATCTCCTAATATTATTGTACTGCAGTCTATTTCTCCCTTTAGATCTATTCATGTTTGCTTTATATACCTGGGAGCTCTGGTGTTGGGTGCATAGATATTTATCATTGTTATAACCTCTTGCTGAATTGATCGCTTTATTATTATAGGGTGACCATGTTTCTTTTTACAGTCTTTGATTTGTAGTTTATCTGATGTAAGTATACTCAAGCTCTTTTTTGGTTTCTAGTTGCATGGAAAATCCTTTTCCATCCCTATACTTTCAGTCTATGTGTGTCTTTGTAGATGAAGTGGGTTTCTTGTAGGAGCATATAGTTGGGTCTTGTTTCTTTATCCAAGCAGCTATTCTATGCCTTTTAATTGGAGAACCAAGTCCTCTTACATTCAGTGTTCTTATTGATAAAGCAAGGACTGACTACTACCATTCTGTTGCTTATTTTCTAATTGTTTTGTATCGCCCTCTTTCTTTATTGTCTTTCTTTGTGTTGAGAGACTTTATTTCATAGTATATTTTAGTTTGTTGATTTTAATCTTTGGTGAATTATTACAGATTTTTGCATTGTGGTTACCACGAGCTTATACAAAACATCTTATATAACAAGTTGTTAGCAGAGATGACAACTTATCTTAGATCACAAAGAATGAAGCAAAAAAAAAAAAAAAAGAAAGAAAAGAAAAATTCTACACTTCAACTCCATCCCCCACATACTAACTTTTAGTTGTCTCATTGCACATGTTTTTATATTACCTACCTCTTAGCAGGCTGCTGCAGCTATTATTGTTTTTGATAGCTGTCTTTCGGGTTTCCTACTAGAATTATGAGTGGACTGCATACCACAGTTAAGGTTTGTCTGTGTACTTAATATAACCAGTGAGTTTCACACCTTCAAATGTTTTCTTTTGGCACATTAGTGTTATTTTTT